CTTACTACCTTTAAGTCCTGATACAGATTTTTAATTCTGTCCATTTTCAAAAGCTGAATGGATTGCCAAGACTTTAAAGACTCCCTGAAGCTAAGAAGAACTGAAATTAATGATTTCTATCTCTAGGGAAGGTAAAAAGGGTTACACTGGGAGTATTAATCCATTCTAGGCTGTAATTACATTTTAACAAGAAAAATGGGTTTGTATGTCACTTAATTATACCTCAATATCCGTCTGGAAATCAAACAGGTCAATTCGCTGCCAGTTACTGCCATCCAGGGCCAGAACATTCCATGCCTTTATCGGGGGAAAAAAACGTAAATGTGTTGTTAATATGAAAAAAAAACAACAACTAATGCAAAAAACCAAATGCTGGTGGGGACCTAGTTACAATTTGTTCCTTCTAGAAACAACATTCTGCCTCAGATGTAAAAGCAAGTAATTACAGCCAACAGGAAAGGAAAGCTCTGCAGTTACCGGAACCACTGGCTTGGGCAGGAGTCCCCTCACCTACAGGCCATGCTCTTCACAAGTCCCCTGACCAGGCAAACCTGTGGGGCCCCAGCCACCACCGCTCCATGGGTGGTGCAGATGCTGAGCCCAGGACAGAAGGCAGTGCTGGAGCATGGGCATCTTTGCCGTCTCGGCTGGAATCTAATGCCCTCTGCAGCATCACCAGCTAACCCAACACCGTTAAAGGATGCTAGCAGGACCAACATGAAGGTGAAGGAGACCAGGACACAGGCAAGCCCCAGAGGAGACCCTACGAAGCTAGTAGGGGGCATGAAGGGCTCAGTGGCACTGGGGCAGAGGACTACGTGGTGAGATCCCGTGAGCGGTGGGTCAGGCTGTCATCTTGCACACCTTCTCCCTTGACTCCAGCAGAAAGAGGTGTTCAAGGCAGTTGCACAGCTTGGATGCGTGGGGTGCTGCGTCCCACAGATTGGGAAACCCAAAGCTCTGTAAGCTGCCCAGGTAAAGCAGCCAGCTCTTACCCGAGACCTACACACCACTGCCCGAGCGACAGTGTTTGCTACCGCTGACTTAAGTGTTTGCTTTGGGTTTTTTTAAACAAACAAACAAAATCTCACTTGGTTCATGCTACAAATGGATGAGAACCAGGAACTGAAAGTTAGCAATTCTGCCCTTAATGAATCAAAAAGGTTGTCAACGCAGTACTATACTTCAAGCTTTAATTACGCAATCAAAGTAAACAACTAGATCTCTTAATAACCATGAGTCCATCATTACAAAAGAGCGCATGTATATGTATATAGGCATATTTTTATACTACATCTATTACATGCACTAGGCTACATCTCCATCACAGTATACCAGCTCTTGTGCAAGACAGGTATAGACAGCTGACAGAACTGTAAGCATGAATTGTTTTTCTGCATTTCAAATCTCATTGCTGATATTTGTTTTAAGGCCTAGTTATCGCCATGATAAAAGCAATAGCTCCAGTGGAAAAGAAGTGCATCAGTGGATGCAAGTTATATCACAGTGTATTTTAATGTGTAACGTAGGCAACTTCACACACAGCCTTTCTGTGGCTCTGTGCAGCTGCTTTTGTCCTTTACAATACATGCTGTGGTACATAATGACTGATGTGTTCTCTGATGCCCTGTGGACTGTGCAAACAGGAGCGAGCAACAAAAGGAGTACACCTTGACATTGGCAAGTATCTCTGACAGCCCGTTTTGGTCAACATTGTTCTGCTGGAGCAGTGAATTTCAGCTGCAGGATCTTTCACTAGACGACCAATGTTCTTCAGAGAACATGGGATAACAACCGTAATGCCTAGACATCACATAGGCTATTTTTTAATGCTATTAAAAATGCTTAAGCATAGTCTTTGTTATTCTTATGCACTCTGAATAACGAAACGAGTTATGGTTCAAGTACGAACCCGAGATTGATCAGTTTAGTACAGGTGTCACTCAGCACCAGCCCTGCCAGTACAGTGAACACACCAGTGCAAACACCTTCCCCTGCGACCGACTTCCTGCTTGCTGTAGTAATGCTTCCTCTGGTGTCTTACTAGATACTGGCAGGATAAAGTATCTGAACAAATCCGGTAGCTCTAGATAACTGGACCCGCAGTTGGAGGAATGTTCCCAAGCCAATAATCCAAGCTGGATTTCATTACCTGAAGCCCACGGAGCTATGAGCTACTTAAAAGAAAAAAAGCGACCCTAAACAAAACAGACTCATTTTTTTCCTTCCATGCTTACTCCAACTCCATCCAAGCAGGAAAGTAAACTTTCATTGACTGTGTGGCGTCTTTGTGAATCAAAATTTCTATAGCCCCACCAGAACCCACAAGATGCCACTTTAGACTCATCCAAGTTTGGTATTTTCATCAGCGCGGGCCTCCTGTACAAACCCAGGCTGACTGCAGAGTTCTTGGGCACCTTCGTAACGTGCTCAGGGCCTGGGACACTGGCAAAACAGTATTTGAGCTTTGAGTCCCCCTTCACTGGTGCCATCAGAAGTTTCTGGTACCGCAGCGTTAATATGGGACACTAAATAACAATAGTTGAGTTGCACAAAGCTCCCTGGTACAAACCCTCCCAGTTTGACATCTAGGGAAGGCTGGAGCGAGGGGATCGTCACCCAAATCCAATCAACTTTAAAATCCACAAGCAAGGAGGAAGGTGCTTACCCTGGAAACTTGAGCACAACGACACAGAGTGACCACATCCAGGAAAGAGAAAATTCTGTAACAGAAATAAGATACCTTATTAGTTATCTGCATTTAAAACAACGAGAACATGGAAAACAAAGAGGGGGGAGGGGGAAAAAAGGACTGGAGACAGCAAAACTTCTTTGTAATTCAGTTGAAAGCTGAACTGTGAAAAGAAGCGCAGACCTAGCAGTTAACAAGTGACAGCAAAACACCGATACTGAGCCACTGTGAAATATTCATCTCATGCCTCGTAGTATTTACCAACAGGAACCTGAACGATTATTTATCAAAACAGACGCTGACAGGTATTGTGTAGCTTAGCAACCAAACGTTAAGTCAGGATACGGCCGAACAAACAGTCATGTTGGGCTGTTTCGGCTCCTATTCGACACAGGAGCATCGCTGCGCCCAGCACCTCCGTTCAACAAACCCAACATCTTTAGCAACAGCTCTCCACAAGCAGGCAGCGTAATAATTAACAGTTAATAGATCAAAGCAAGACGACAGCCTGATTTCGGTGCGTGGATTATTTCCTCTTTTTTACACAGCTGTGCTAAATATGAAGTGTTGTTAACACAGAGGGAGGAGGAGTATTTTGCTCTGCAACGCTGCAAAGCAACTTGCACGGCCGGATGATTTGTTCGATTGTGTCAGGACGGTGTCGAGGAGAGACGCCTTTAGGATTAAGCCGATGCGGTCACTCCTCCGTGGTATGTCATTCCTCTGCCAGGGCATACCCAAGTGTTCAGGCCAACACCCTGGTGTTGCTGTCCTATTTATTGGGATAATGGCATTAGACAGTAATACTTTGCAATGTTACACTGGGCTAAGACGTCCGTGCTTTTATCTCAGGCATATACACCCCTATCTGTGAATGCAGGAAGTATCGAGGCCAGTTAAAGCTCCCGAATCCGTACCAACACAGCAGTATGGTTATGTTACGGTTTATGGTTATTCAAACAATCACATGCCACAAAACAGAGAAGGTCACGTGGACAGCAGAAAGAGAGCGAGGCCTCGTTCTCTTTGACAGCAATTGTAAAACCACAGGATGAAATGATTTTGCAAAGATAACACCAGTGTTTGACTACAAGACAACACTTGCACATATGCTTTAATATTTTAAACTTGAAGACCACCAGAAAGAGAAGGCAAATGTTACCAGATGCAAGTGTTAAAGGTACGGGGCAAGTAATTTTGTTCCAGTGCTATACGCTGTTTTATTAAAATACACTTGTCAGGTAAAGTAGGGTTGTCCAGGAGAAATTCAGAGAACCAACAGAACTCCATGGCTCCAAACCCCTCCAGACGTTCTCAGGAGAACAGCATAAGCCTGGATTAGCGATCATTTGGATACCTGCAACACCTTGAGTCATCTCCCCACAAGACTGTGGGCTTGGAGGGGGGCATGCATAAGTTTTCCTATATTCTCAGCAGAGCTGCCCATCCTGGAAGACGTTCAGAAACGAGAAGACGTTGCTGGCAGCATGTTCTCTTGGTGTGACTTCAACACTTAACAAACACCCTGTACTAACGTGTTACTGAAACTCTCACATAAAACCAAGCAAGCTGTACGATGTACTCATCTCCCCAGGTAAGTACAAAGAATACATTTGAATAAATAGCACGGATACTGATAAAGCCGGGGGAAGAGGTGCTGAACGAACAAACATCATGTGCATCACAGATAAACTGCACTTTGTCCTAGAGATAAATGACCAGGGGTTACCCAGGCTTCTGCTACCAACACCAAGTTTTGCATGCACATTAATACGCGCCGCACACCTTCACGGACACCCGTGTATTTGTATATTGTGATATGCAAGTGGCAAATCCTGGATTTTTCAAGTTTTAGGAGAGGATGCAAGCAAGACTGAGATGACGTGATAGAACCATTGCATGACCGAGCTTTCTTCACAAGCAGGTATTTAAAAAGCACTTTAGAAACATCCATGTTGGTAGATGTTACCAATAGAGGATGAACGGCATATTATTTATCAAAACACAGATGCTTACAGGTATCACGTAGCGTAACAGTCAAACATTCAATAAAGTCAGGATGTAGCAGAATAAACAGCCACACGCTTCTCCTGTGCTTCTCTACTGCCCAAAGATACTCCCAGATTCGAGGAGTTTGATTCAAGATACTTCTCAGCTGGTCCTCACGCATCTCATCATGAGACAAAATTTACAGTGACACGCTGAGATACACGCAGTTAAGAGGTCTGGAGAAGAGCTAACGCACACTTGACTGTAACGCTGTTTTGGGAACCCACATCTGGATTTGAGAAGCAGTTCCATGCTTGCTTTCAACTGCTTATAGACATGTCTTCCCCTTGAGTGAAACGTTACTTCTTCGTGCATGTATGTGAGTGCTGAAGATTTATTTCGCACAATGTCAATGTACAGCAAGACAAGGAAAGCCTAGGGAAACAATAGAAGCTAGGGAAAATTCTTACTTTCACCCTAGATTGCCATCATAGTAGCAACCAAAAAAAAAAAAAAAAAAAAAAAAAAAAAAATCAAACTCCATGGGAACAGCGGCTAGGTCAGTAACTACGTAAGCTTTCCATATTTTCATTAAAATTGCTTTCTCCATGGAAATCCCAGGCAATTAATAACCATCTCATCCCTCCATTAGGGTTATTAGGTCTTGGCTAAATTCTTTCCTACTTCCTGCTCCTCCCTTCCCAGTCTACCCACACAGTAAAAGGGATGTGAACATGGCAGAACAATTTCCCCTCTCACCTCTGGGGTTAACATTGCCAAGCTTTGCCGGGAGTTCCCTTGTTGGACAACTCGGGGACTTTCGGCTCTGAAAAGCTTAAGTGGTTTTGTTTTTGGTTTTTTTTTTTTTCTTTTCCCAGTGTTTTCTGAACTGCTCTTGCATTTGTTCAAGAATATTAGCCAATGACTCAGCAGAATCAGACGGCAAAAATTACTCTTTCAGCAGCAGTCACTACGGCGTCGTGCATTTTGGTCATTTCCCAACTGGCTTCAACCACAACCCTTCACATGGAGAGAACAGCAGGAGCACAGTTAAAATCTTGCAGGCACAACGACCCAAGCTAAGTTTTCTAACACAGCCCTGAGGACAGGTTTTCTTGTTCTCCAAGGAGCTGTTGGGGAACATTTTAAAAAAAAACCAAAACCAAACAAACCCAAACCCCACAAACAAGCTGCCCACATGGCTAAGCAAGGATTGAGCAGGCAATGCTTTCCAACATGAATACAGTACGGGTCATAAATGCTGTGTCTCTTTTCAGCACTCTGCACAGTGTAAGATAAAGCAAAGCTGATGTATAACCTC